ATAAGCGTTTTCGTTTGTAATCCACATACCGAATTACAACAGGCAATACAAGAAGACCGTGAAATAGGCCTGTGGCGACAACCAACACCGACGTACGGGCGAACATTCTAACAGCATTCGATGGAACTAGGATCATCACGACTATTGCTGCAAAAGCAAGAATTATCAATTGTTCCATCCCAGTGGAGCAGAGAAGCAACTGCTTCAAAATGCACATCACACACGTTATACCGTCCATATAATGGCATCTGGAGGAGCAAAGGTGCATGAAGGTACTGTTTACGGTGAGCGTATCTACGCGTTTACATCGCACAGGGCACACCATCCTTGGGAATTTCATAGCAAGAGGGCCATACTTGACCGGCATTGGGCAAGGTCGTGAGCATACCGTCATTCTGCTATGAACACAGCAAAGATCTAAGCCGGGGCACATCACCGTTGGAGATTCCCTAATATGAGGAGGGGGTCATATTCGACCCGTAGAGCTGGGGGACGTAATGAGAGGGGCAGCCAACACCAAACAGTGCAAATGTGTGATTAGCACTACAAAAATTCAACATGGTCAACTAACAGTCTCACTAAATCGATATAAGTTCGTAAATACGTAGATGACTGAACAGTACAACTTCAATAAGTCCGTGGGTCAGGCCATGGACCTTCCTAAACCCTATGAACACATCTGCTCGCGTGGACAGACATTACATAGAAGTTGCACTACCTCTGCGTGGGAGCATGCATGGCGCAACCAAAAATAAAGCTAATGGGCGCTAAATCACCCATCGGCTAGCTGTGTGCCGCGAAGTCATTCGTTCTAGATGCATTCTTGGTCCAAGTACGCCTACCCGAAATGGAATACAGGAAACGAGATTTCGCGCAAGTCGAAGTTTCCCCCACTGCGTTCCCAACGCATTTATCTCACAGACGGTGGTTCTGCATTTCCCCTCTGGTAGTGGACAGCTCTCAGGTGGTGAGACCTTCTGTAGATCTATCTCACCGAGCAGTGTTGAACTTCCAGCTTGAAGTACAGGCCATGCAATAGCACCCAGAGCATCTCGAATACGATCGTTGGGATCAGCATGTTCAGATCTGTAGATGCGATACCCCACATGAGTAGCGAAATCAATACACTGTCCGATAGACATCTAAATGAATTCTATTACAATTATTACTGATTACCATGTTATTGCTACTGTCACTTGAGTACCAACAAGCTGGTTTTAACAGACACATTTCGGACACTCCGAATTTACTCTGTGGCACCATTTCCCATTCAACTCATACAGTCGTTATCATGAAATCTGCCGGGACGTCTCAGCGTGGTATGCGTTTTGGCGCAGCGCGAGCTCCTGTCTCACCATTCGTTGACCGCCCGGAGCCACAATGATTGATGGAAAACGAGCTGCCGTCGCACCAGAACCCATGCCACGCTGACACGCCCCGACCGGCTCCAGTGATAAAGACTGTACCTACTATAACCAATTTCACCACTGTGAACCAAGTCTAGCGCTTCCAGCTTTTTTTGCAACTGTCAAGGCACAACCATTCCATGTAGTTAAGAAACTCACCAATATGTTCACAACAGTGGTCGGATCGAGATCTGCGCCCCATAGGGATAGGAAGCCCGCTGTCCCTACATCCATGGATACAAGACTAAATGTAACCCAGAAAACGATCGACGATTCAGCGACGAATAGGATACAGACTGAAACACACCTTTACTATATCACGATATCTTTACTTCATAAACCATTCCCACATTTTTTGTTCAAAAAAAGACAACCTGCAATCAAAG